GCCTCTGGATCTGGTAAAAACAGTCTCCATTACAGGTAGCAGATCTGAGAACCAATTCACTACTCGGAAAATGTTCTAAAGTAAAAAAATTATAATCCAATAAAACATTTTTCTTCACTCTTAGATCCAGGACAAATGAGTCTGAACAGAAACCAAAACGTGGAGAGCCACCAGTGTGTGCAGAGAAGGGGATACTGCCTGAAGATATTTAGAGTCCAAGATGAGTAACACAGTGGTATTGCTATCACTCTGTGCATATGACATGCCCCTGCACAGGGGGTCCACTATCTTCAATCATTTGGTCTAACCCTGAGCTGTTGCCCACAGACCACAAGAACCTCCCTACCTACCACCTTACATTCATTTAAAACTCTTTTGAAGTTACACTTTTCTTGTCAAATGTGAATATTTGTCATTAATTAACGTAATTAATAATGTAATTTTATTTTCCTCAACTTTAGAATAAGCATATCAACTTAAGACAATCCACTTCCTTTTTTAAGAAAAACTACGACAAGATTTCTAACAGATAAAAAATTTAGTCAAGTGTTTGAAAATAGAAGATTAATCACATACCTGACCATCTAAATCAAAAGCCAAGCAAGCTATACCGTGTGTGTGAACATCTTTCAGAACAGATACAGTTTGCACAGTGTATGAATCCCACACGCAGATGTACGGTTCTTTTCCAACTTGACCTGTTGCCACCAACACACGTTCAGGATGCAAAGCAAGGCTGCCAAAAAAAGATACAAAATATTTTTGCATGCAGCATTTATATTTACCTAGTTAGTTGCATTAATATTTTCCCTTAAAATTTATTTTACAATATTTTCTCATTGGTAGTAAATATTAACAAGTCAATTAGTATCACAGATTCCACAGCAGCTGTAAAATTCCCTTAATATAGTACATACCACCACCTTTCTTGAATTTAAACCTTCAGGCCTTCTAAATTCAAACTAATTACAAAGTAGCCATTAATCCGCTGTTTCAAAAGTATTTATTATATTAGGTCAGATTTTCATGCACACTTACTTTCCCTTTCTCTTTTTTAACATTTAAAACCACAAACAATGGGCAACAGAAGTTACTGTTTACCTATCCACATATCTATCATCCATGGAGATGCATTAATGCATCTCCAAAAGTATTTCATTCCACATGGTATTTTATGCCCTTTTTATTAGAGGACTGAATAGCCTCCTGAAGCTGCCTCTCCTCTGATTGTATAGCAAGACAAAGCATGACTAGTTTAGACTAGATGCAATTACTACACTTCAGATGATTACACTGAAGAGCAACGAACATTATCCTAAATGTCTTAATCTTCATGTAGAACAATTGGGAACAGTTGGTTTTGAAAAACTAGTTATTTTCCACATTTCCAACATTGCTGAGAATTTTCTTACAGCTTGTGTTTCAAAGCTATAAGAAGCTTTGTATTTTCAAAGACCACTTGAGGATCATCAGAAATGTTTTGCCAAATCTGGGACCAAGCTAGAAAGTATGCTAGTCAGCAAGATAGTTCTTCATTTTGTTTTTGCAAGCACGGGAGGACAAGAGGTCTGAAGAGTCAGATTTCCTAATACAGAAAAGTAAGAATATATTCTAATAGAAACCCAAACAAGCTACTTGATGACATTCTACACAGACTAAGTACAGCAGTCCAAAATTATTTGAAATATAACATGTAAATCAGGAAAACAAAATTTCCTAAGTTGGTTGTTTAATTTGGCTAAAAAATTTCCTAGCCTAATGGCTCACAGGGTAATGAACAACCTTGAGAAACTGGTGAACAGAACCACTAACAACACATAGCAAATGTATTTATTTTCTCAAAATCATTTGGAAAGGAGAAAGGTTGAGCTATTTGCAAAGGTAAGATCATCTTACACCTGAACACAGATTTCGATAAAGGAAGTTCAAAGGGTGGAGACAAGGGGAGTCTATAAACACAGAAGAAATAGCAAGGTTGAAGCTAACCAGGAAACTACCAGAAAAAAAAATACCTAATTCAAAAGTTGCATACATTTTCTATATATAAAAAGAGCCAGAAAAAAAAAACACATTAGAAGATGCTTAATATTTTATGAAGTCCTACTATCGTATGCAATACACTTCTATATTTTTTTCTGTTCAGTTGGTTGATACTCTATGACAAATTCCACATGCACAACTCTAAGAACTTTTAACTTCAAAGTTAGAAAGGTAAAAAGCCTCTGAACCTTTCAATTATTTAATGGGAATTTTAGCCCTTTATTACTCCACATTATGCTCAGGATCAAGCAACCAACATTTCTCCACTTCGCATAGTCGTTTTGCTAGTTTTTCCCTTCTTCTTTATTTGGCAGAGCAACTTTGCAATTAAAATTAAAGCAGGAATGAGCTGGCAGGCAAAACTTATCACATTTCACTTCAGTTCTGCCACCTGCAGATCAACACCTGCACATCTCCCAGAGAACACAAGGGCAGATGGTGTACTCATGGGACAAAAGAAAAGCATCTGGAGGGGAAGAAAATGCTTCATCCAAAATGATCTAATTTTTGCAATGGCAGCACAGAAAGAAAGATATTAGATCACATGGACAGTAAAGAAATTTGAGAAAGGAAGTGAAAAGAATAAGCAAGGAAAAAAAAAAAAAGGAAAGAAAGAGAGACAGAAGCTAAGAGGAAAAAAGAAAAAACACAGCAGTCTCACGTCTGATTCATGACCTCTTCAATCCTGTACTTAGCTGTGCTATTAGTGCGTTGTGCATTTTTAGACAAGGGGAAACCACCTCACAATTGCAACTTTGAAAAACACTCAGGCACCACCCTGGGTGCACACACATCCAAAAGGAACCCCACACCACACCTTAGAAAACGCTTCACAGCAACCAAAAATTAGCTTATCATGTTTTTAACTAAGGACCAGAAGCAAGAAATGCAATGCATCAGAAATGGAAGGGACAACAGTAAAGGCATTTCCAAGGGACAGGAAAACATTGTCCTAGCCCAAGTGTGCCTAGTAATTTCATTTGAAGAATATGAAGTGGATATAGAGAATGCTTCCTCTCCTTCTATTTAATAAATGGCAAATAATATCCAATAGCAATATCATAGTATTAGTTCTTTCTACATCATGATGCAAAATACTGGCTTAGAAAACTGAGCTCAAATTCTGACTTGACATGGGATAGTGTAGCAGAAATTAAGATCCAAAGCCTGTATTTTAATCTTAACAGACAACACTTTAGAATTACCAATGTCCTTCCTCTACCACTTCAGTCTCTATTATAAATTTCTAATAACTTTTCTAGACAGTAGAAAAAAATAAAAGTACAATAAATACTATTAAACAGCAAGCTTTTTTTTAAAAAAATGCCAACATCAAGGGAAGAAGAGCTGTTTGCAGCGGCTGAAGAAATCCTTACCTGAAAACCTTTCGTCACCATTTCCTACAGACCAAGGAGTGAAAGATAGATTAAAGTACTACTTGCAGGTATTTTATCTCACAGGCTATCAGAACAGATGGAAAAGAGAAGCATGGAAAGAGTCAAGGGACTGCTGTTTCTATTACCAACAATGAAAAAGTAACTGCTGCACTTATTTACACGATTTTCCATATGAGTCATGAATGATAAGACAATGCTTTTCCTTAATATTCAAGTCTTGGCTATTATTAAACCCATGGAACACGATTACAGACTGAAAATTTTGGGTCCTGATCAAAACTCAAGGATTACATTCCAGTTTTAGGCAATGTGGTGACTCTTCTCAGTTCTTTCATTAGACTAAGAGTGATTAAGCAATCCCTATAAGGATAGCAAATAATGTGAGAATACAGTATCTTCGTCTAACCTCTAGAGAAGAAGCATTGATAAAACTCACATATTTGGGAATTTTCATTATTAAAGCAGTCCTGAACAATGCACTATAAGTAGCTTCATAGTGCAGAGAGAAAAAATATAGCTAGAATGGGTGCCCAGAAATGGATAACCATAAGCACTTGCTTATCACGGACTAGGTTAACTCATGGGCATGATGCAGTTAACAGGATCAAACAATGAGTTGGAGTTGTCTCTGGATATCTCAGGTAAGATCTTCAGCACACCTCTAACGAGGTGTTAACAGCTTACAACTATTGGGATAGTGTCGTGGTTTTGCCCCCTCAGCCCATCCCTGGGGCTGATGATGGTTTTGTCCAGGTAATTTCCGGACAAAAAGACCAATCAAAAGTCCAGAAACGCCTTTGCTAATTACATCTTCAAGAAAACGGAAGAGAAGGTTGTTGGCGCAGTTGGAATTAGAGTAACAGCCATGTAGAGGAGAGGAGTAGCAGGCCCGAAGCAGGGCCAGACTCCCTCCTCCCCCGGCTTGGGCCGGGGGGGGAGCAGGTGCAGCACTGAAATTCTCCCTTCTCTCTTGTAAGAGAGTGAAGAGAAAAAAAAGTTTAAAAGACGGACTGCTTGGACAGAAAACCGCTGTGGAAGAATTCCAGCCGAAAGATAACGGAGCTTCCAAGGTCGGAGCTGGCAGCCGAAACTGCAGCAAAGAAAAGTAAAGTGCGAAAGGGGGGAGGCTTGTTTCCCCCCTGCCTTTCTGCTCTCTCTCCTTAGCAGGGAAAAGACTGAAAAATAAACCCTGCTACTTATAAAGTGTGCTGGAGTAAGGAAACCTCCCATGCAGCTGATAAAAGAATCTGTGGATGTACTAAAGAGAACTGAAACTTCATAAAGAGGACTGAAGTGAGACAGGGTCCTGGTGGAGATTTGCAACCCTGAGGGAAACCTGTGC